TCTATACTACAGTTTGTAATTTAACAATTACTCAAATAGTCCTATTTTAGTGTTACATCATCAGAATGGATGTTAAGAATTGTATCTGAATATATGTCTACAGTTAAAACTTCAAAATAAAACATATTATCACTCAAATCAGAGAAGGGAACTTAAAGGGAGGTAGCAGCCTAGTAATTCAACAGGCTGAAATTACATGCTTCCTAATGTAAATATTTTCACATCAAGACCATAAGTTTGGTCAATTTAAGACGTGATTACCAAAACACACCAACTGTAAGAAGGGGAGTAAAAAGGGAGGGAAAAGTGCAGAAACCTAGGGATGGATGATGCCTGGCAGTGAAAGTCATTTTCAAAGACCATTAACTATCAACTGCTTTACTCAGGGCTCTGATTAAATAAGAATATACATCCCATGTTGAAAGGGATGTCTACATGAGTGGGATAGAGTTTAGAATACAAATGTACAGACAATAAAGAAGAATCAAACCACAGTATACAATTAGGCATCTGACTTATGAGATTATAAAACTGTATATGTGCCTTTTAAACTGTGAGTGAATAAACATTTAAATTATTTGGGGGGGGAGGTAGGAAGTCAGACAAAACCACCATTTCCACTTTAAAATATAAATTCAACAAACTGAAACTGTGTTTGCCTATATGAAAAGAAAGAACTAAAAGAGTACTGGGAGAAAAATTCATATCAAACATGCTTTTAAATGGACTCCAGCAATGTTATTATATATTTCTTACAATATATTTTATTTATCATTTCTCTGAAATGGGCTAGATTTTATATTAGAAAGAAAGTTTGCTTTACTCTGTCATATCTCTGGTGAGCAGATGCTCTAGTATTAATGTAAATCGTTGATTTAATTTTTAGCTTTCTTGGTTTGCCCCTCACCTACCTAAGAAATGATTTCTCTGGTGATAACTAACACATCATGCTAATGAGAGAATCTAATGCACAATAGAAAAATGTCACTACTAATAATATTTGCATGAAGTTAAATAAAGCAACTGTAAGAGAATGTCAGACAGTTGTTCTTTAATAAGACACAGTTTCACAATGAAATTATGTTGTTAATTTTGTTACATCATTGGGTGAATCCTAAATTACTACATAATGATGCACAGAGTCATTTATAATTCTAACTTAGTATTTCACTTGTGTCTGAAAAGAGACCTTATTAAGGGATCTACATTTTATTTGAAACAGGTTAAATATACCTCACCAATAATAAAAGGTAAATGCCTCTAATAATGTGTAAAACATGGGCTGGAACCATTTACCTGTTACGGTTTCATGTCTGAAAAGATTTCAAAATATATTAGACTATTGCATCCCTTGAAGTAGCTACAAAGAATTTTATTTGATATTGCCTCAAATGCACAAAATATTTACAAAAATAGAAAAATCACTTTTTAAAACCTGATTAGGAAAAAAGAAAAACAAGTTCCAAAAGCTGGCCTTATTTTCTGCTTTTAACAATACTTAATGAGGTTAAAATGGGCAAAATAATGTTCTAGACTCTAGGAGATTAACACAGAAGATGAGCAAAGGGTTTCTGGTCATTCTCGACCTGTCACTGATCAAAGTAACTCAAAAAAGAACTTCCTTTACAGAAGTCAAGAGTCATGCCCTTTAAGGTTATCAAATATTTGTCTGTATGGGAAAAAAAAAATCATCCTTTTTGAAAAATCTTACTTAAACATGGGAAAGATGTAGAAAGGCAAGAAAATGTGGTAAAATTATCATATCTTGAATGTAAGGGACAAATACTTAATTCTATCAAATCTAAACTGGCTTCAGTTTGTGATGTCTTTTTGTTATTATTAGACAGACTGACAGATTTACATATAAGCAGATCCAACTTTGCTCATACAAAAGACAAAGAGTTTTATATCCCTACTTCCTAATTTACCTGTAGAAGATACAAATGTAGATTATTAAATTTCAGTATTCATGAGATACTGCTATAAGTTTTGCTGTAGTTAAGTAATAGTGGTAGTTAATTCTCTGTAACTCAGTTTTGAAACCTGCTAGTCAGTCTTTTCTAGTATTTAAAGAAATGATCTGGTAAATCTTACATTTTTATATTATTACAGAAAACTTTGAAATAAAAAAATAGACCCAAGCAATTATATTCAAGAGTTGAATCAATTTTTTCTTAGAAATTAAAATAATCATAACACAGAAAAACCTCTTTATACAGAATTCTGCCTGTTTGATTAAACTGGACAAACTTTTACCTGTAGTAAAACAAAAGCTGGCTTTAATGTGTATACTGAAACTAGTATTCCTTGAAACTGTTGGCTTCAAGAAAATCATTTCAAGAAGTGTCCTTCCTGCGTGCACGCACGGACACACACACACACACACACACACACACACACACACACACACACTGAATCAGCACTGCTGATGAACTATAGGTAAAGAAAATAAACATATTTTAATAACACGTACAGCATATATATTTTTAGATTTACACAGTCTGAATTTAAGTTTACACAAAATTATACAAACTAAAATGTCATCCTGAAGGAGAAAAAAAAATACACTCATACACTCTTTACACGCTTTCCAGAAATGCACAGGAGGTAAACATTTAGTAACCATGACAGGAAAAAAAAGGGGGGGGGGAGCCAATAACTACATTAAAACCAAAAAATAAAAAATATATAGTTAAACCACAACACTTTTTAAAATTGTGATTTTCTCCATTTTACTTCTCTGTTTAATAAATGGCATAATACTATGTAATTTTATATAGCACCCATTATGCATAAATTACCTCCCTATATTTCTACTCTTTTCATATAAGTCGACTGATGCTAAGACACATGCATGTACACAGGTAGAGACAAAATAGATCTTTATATATCCACAAAGTCAAACAACTGGATCAAAGACATCATACTAGCTTAGTTGCACAAGTTTCTCTGAGCGATTTCAAATTATTTTCCTAATTCTGATCAATCATTTATATCATTTACTTTTATTTGTTTTTTAGCTATAATGTTTTCCATGACTTAGAGTCTCCTTAGATTCAAATCTACTTGGAAATGGGCTAGTGCCAAAGAAGCAATCTAACACCATCTATGTGGTTCAATAGCCATTTATCAATTGATCATTATCTCTATCTGGTTTTATTAACTCTTTTCTAGCTAGAGGGAGACCTAAACAAATTTTCCCTACACACACACACACACACACACACGACCTTCCCTAACTCAAGGAAAACCCTAAACGTGACACTAATTTTTAAAGTGCGGCACAAGTTGCTTGGTCCTACAGTGAGTGCACACCCTGTGTTACAAGCACGGAGAGAGCCACCCAGGCAGGGATGTGCCTCAGAAACACACCCCTCAAAGCACTCTACGATGACAAGGAGTATCTCTGGGAGGAAATGAACTTTTTAACTTGCAAGAATGGGAAATAGCTCATAAAGAGTTGCTTATTGGGTTTATGTTGATTGCATTTAAATCCCAGCTTACTGTATCAGCAGTAATCAGGGTCCCTCTACAGGATATGTCAAAATACACCTTATTCAAATGCATTTATCCTATGTAGAAGGGCATGACACAGCCTGGCTCTGTGCACTGGCTTTTGCAGATGTACCTCTAAACTTCTGGTAGTTTATAGCCTACCAAATTGTTTTCTTTCCTTCATTACCAATACTTTAAAAAATCTAATTAACTCAATAAAGTATTTAATTCTCATGAACTCTTACACGCAAAACAGGTTTTAGAAAAAGAAAGCAATTGCAAATCTGTTTTCCAATGAGTGGAACAGAACCAATTTCTTAACAACTGCCATCTACTTAAAATCCAACTGTATTTGTCAGTAATACTTTCGTGCTGTGTGGATGATACTATCATGCTAACTCTTGCTTTGTGTGGGTTTGGTGTAGGCTTTTGAACAGCAAGACGTGTCTAGGAGGGAGGCACCAGGGAACTTCCCTCCCTCGCTTGAGCACAGTCCAAGATGAAAGTTTCTGGGTTGTTTCCCTTCGCTTCCTCTCACCCTCGCTCCCCCTCGGAGCCGCAGAGCCAGCAATTGTGCAAGAGGAGCCGGGCGTGCAGGGCGCGTATCACCAAGCGCATGGTACAAGCAGCCGGCTCCAGTGATTAATTATCAGTTGCCGCCGGCCTCGCACTAACACGTCGTCTTTCCCGGCAGAGCCAGCACACCCAGCCGCCTGCAGCGCGGCCCGGACAGAGCAGCGGCTTTGGGGAGGACGCCGCCGCTGCGCCCGAGTGTGAGTGCGCCGGCCAGCGGGCGAGCGGGCGAGCGGGCGGCCGGGCGGCCGGGCAGCCGGGCGGGCGGGCCGGCGAGTGTGCGGGAGCCAAGCCGGCGCCGGCGCCGGCGGGAGCGCAGGGGCAAGCACGGAGGCAGGCGGGCGGGCAGGCAGCCGCGGCCGGCGCAGAGGAGCGGGGACGAGCCGGCACGGCCCGCCACGCACACCGTCGCCTCCTCCGCGACCCTCGGCGCTGACAGCGATTCCTGCACAGCCTCCTCTCCGCAGGTCGGAGTCGAGCTGCTTCCAGCCCCGTGAAGTCAGTGGGGCTGTGCAGAGGGGCCCCTACATTTTATGACTGGTTGCAGAACCTACTCTGAGACAGCAGACACTTTGACGAAGTGATTAATACAGCCAGAACGATACAGTTTTTGGATGGTGGCCTTTTTTTTTTTTAATTTTGAACAGAAAACAAAGAAATAAAGTCTTCCCATGACCCAGGCTATCGTGTGAAACTTTGCAGCGAATGCCTTTGCTTTCTTTTACTTCAGTATCCTTTCCCCTTTTTCTTTTAAGGAGCCCTCAGGGAAAGCATGAAGTAACCCTGCATTCCAACACCACAGTTATGACAAAACAGAGCCTAACTATTAAGTGATCAAATTTTTTAAAATGTTGTAAAAGAAAAATAACAGAAACAAAAGTCTGTATAACAATTCAAGGTTTCTTAGAAAAAAAAGAAAGAAAGTAACTTACCTGTTGGGACATTCTGAATAAGAGGTTAGTATCAGCGTTTTGCCATGTCCCCATGAACCCTGGTTCAGCTGTAGTCGTTCTGGTTCCGAACTGCATGGAGTTGTCAGTACAGGAGTCTCTTAAAGTCAAGTCTCTTGCCCTCTTTGGCTCTCTGTCTCTCTGTGTCTCTCTTTCTCTCACATCCACTTCTGCCTCTTCTGACTGAAAAGTGAAGGTGGATTTTTTGAGCCTCTTGGCAGCCAGTAGCAGGAGTGTAGTGTAGTTAAGAAGCTGGCTGAACTGTGCATTTCATTTGGGAAGGGGGAGATTTGGGGGAGGGAGGGGGTCAGAGCTTCTTTCGCACCTTCTGCACAGATACCCCTATCATTTATGCATAGATTGTGACTCCCCGAGCTTGCCTTTGCTCAGTTTAACAGCTGCCTGTCAGGTGTGCAGGCAGCACTGGAGACCCAACCATCAGCTTCAAACTCTCAGCCACTGCATGTCATTGGATAGCAGAGCTAAGAGTCAAATGCACTGTTCCACTGTCAGGCACCGAATGACACCCTGGCACTAACCCCTCTCCAAACACACAGAGAGACACACACTTATGCACACTCCAAGCAGCACCATGATCACGGACGGCACACAGGGTGAGGAGAAGCTGAGGCCCTTCCCAGGGAAATCTTCCCAACAATGCTTTCGGGTAGAACATGCAATATCAGTCTTCACTTTAACATTTGTAAACTGCTCTGCTTAAACATTTTTTTTCTAATTACACTGGAAGAAAGAAAAATATTCAGCTGTAAGAGAATGTTAAGTTGGCTCAGTTGTTGTCTAAATGTTAGCTCCTAAAAGTCATATACTATGTGCTGGGCTATTTATAACCACATATAAACTCCTAGAGAAAATAATGTATATAGAAATTTGACCTTCCACTCTGAAAAGTAAATAAATAAACCTAGCAGTTTTTTGAACATAGAAGATGCACAATAAACATTTGCAAAATAAATACAAAGTATTTAACATCCAGTTTCTCCGGTCATTAATTATTAAATTGGATGATAAGTAATAAGAAATTGAATGGCAAGGAAAAAAGTGTACCTTTTCTTATAGCTCACAAATAGAAAAAAATCCTTTGTTAAAGTTCCTGGATGAAGCATCTACAATATCCTTTCAAATCATAAAAAAGAAAAAGATGAAGAAAAAAAGCTTGTCCCATTTCAGGGAAAAAAGTAATGAATATAAAAATTCCATTTTTCATTCAAGATCTCTATGGAAAATTCTATAACCTTTTTATGCCTGATGAAATATAACCTGGGGAGCATGTTGTATTTTTAATTAAACTAGTTTTAAAACAAAACATCTATTTATTAGATAGTGTTTATCTACCTTATTTATGGAAAAGCAAAACTGAACAAAATGCACTGTACATAAACAGTAACTTCAAAATGGAAAGCTAAATTCATGTCATCTCATAAAAGTAGTCAGCAGGAAAAAGACATCCTCCTAAACTTAAAATGTAAGGAACATTAATCTTCAACCACCTACAAATATCGAGGACAAATGTACCACTCTCCTTGCTCCTTCTTAACTCAAGAATAACAATAAACCTTACTCTCTGAAACAACAAAAGAAACAGAAAAGAGCTTCAATGGCAGCTCTGTGTCATTAGTGGACAATGAGAAAAGATGAGAAAACGTACACTATGTTGACACAAATGTGCCTTCCCCTCTAGAACCGACATCTCCTGAAAGCTTTTCTGTTAAACTTCCCTCCGGTTCACCACCATTAAGCACAAAAAAGTCTCAAAAGCAGCAAATTCAATATCTGAGAAGAAACAAACAAGAACCCAAAGAATTGTTGCCTTAAAATATATGAAGTCCACCTGTGGTCAATAAAAATATTCTTGAGGGGGGAGGGCAGGAAAAGCCCCTATGAGTCAATTGTCAACAGTGACTGTACCTTTACAGCTAGCTATTACCCACTTAAACTCCCTCTAAAATTCGCTAGCCTCTTGATTTCTGAAGTGGCACTCAGTGCCTCAGTCAAGCTGCCTGCTCAGCTCCTGACCTTCCCACTAATGGCTGTTATTTGTGGGAGGCTTAAGGACACTGTCAATAGCAAGCTTCCTCCTCGCTCCTCTCAGGCTCTGTTGTATCGCTTTGCCTGCGTGTTCTCTCTCGCCTCTTTGCCCTCCCGCTCTCCCCCTCCCTCCTTCCTCTCTCCTTCACTCCCTCTTCCTCTTCTTCTAGCCCCCACCCCTTCTTTCTTTCAGTCCTCTACTTCTCTTCTTTTCCAGGTATCATTCCCCCAACCCCCTGCCCCAACCACACACACAGACACACACACAACACAAAAATCAACTGGCATGCAGCAGCAAGCACCTGCAGTAATAGACTCTTTTATTAAAACTGTTATTCTGCAAGACTTGAAATTCCCCATGGACCGGGCCATGTCAAAGCCGATATAATTAACTAGAGGCTCAGCAACGGATCAATTACCAGACAAGCAAGTGATAGTGAAATCAATGAAAGATCATCAGCCACATTATCAGTGTTGCAACTCATTAGGGCAAAACTGAGAAATGTGCTCAAAGCGAGCCCAAGCAAGGTGGCATTACAAAACAAAGGGCTAATTTGGAGACCCTGCTGTGAACAATCTGTAACAGAATTAGCCTTTTTTCCCCCTAAACTGCACAGCTCCGTAACTAAATGTGACAGACTGAGAGAAGCAGTTTATTAAGACACCAACCCCAAGTTTATTTAGTTCATAAACTCTCTCCTAGAAAATCAATACAGTCTGTACAGGGTTATTAGGCTGACTAGCTAATACATCCAAATCTGGTCTGCCCAGCCAGCAGTCTTCTGACAAAATGCTACCCAGTGTAGGCAAACTGAGCTCTTTCAGATATCAAGGCTTGAGGTTGCTCTAGATGAAACAGGTCTGCAATGTAACTAGGACCCGCATGTTAGTGCCAAGGCACAAGCCTCAAAAGCACCAGGATATCTTTCTAAGGTTTAAAATTTTTCACAACAAATCTATCATACAGTACACACTGCACTTGCTAAATGAATCTGATAAAACAAAATTTTAACTGGTTTGTAAGACTAGTTTACAAAGAGGACAAGCTTTATAAGAGACAACAGTTAACCCAAAGTCTTAACAATAAATGAATCAGTAAACTAAAACAAAACCTCAAGCGTATACACACGCTGTGCTTTGCATATTTTAAATTTGGAATATTCATTATTAAATCAAGTTTTGAAAATACATATTAGACTCCTCTAGAAGTCCCCCAAATACATGATTTGAACTTGCCACTCACTGCCACATATAAACACAGCATGAAGAGTCTTTGATCTTAGGCTAATTTTCTATCTAGCAAGAAAGGCACAGGTTACAAAAAATAAACCTACAAGGCACAAAGAGGACTTCTGAGTTTGTCCAGTGGCTCTATAGTCTGTGGATTATGGAACAGTTGTCTGGAATCATTTGGATTAAAGTTATTTAAGGCTGGGGGCGGGGGGTAGAGGTAGGCATCACTTCCATAGTAATCGCTTTGTACTGCCCTGATTCCAAGTATTTCAGGTTAAACAACTACAAATATTAAAGGCTATGTGCTGGCATTCCCACATTTACTGATTGTGAGCGGTGGACCATGGAATTTAAGAATACACCAACTAGGTACAAATGGCAACCAAATTATTAAAGACAGTATGGGAATGTGAATACCTCCACCTCACAACAATAGATAGCAGATATACACTTACAAAAAAAGAAACTCAATGCAGTTTACAAAGTTAAAACAGACTGGAGAACTGTCAGAAAAAACCAAAAGACAACAATTTTTGGAAGTGAATTCTGATGTTCATGATTTAAAATGTTTTCACATTTAAAATGTTCCAAGAAAAGAATTACACTATGAACATGACTTCAGTATACTGGCTCTAAGACACTAAATCCTAAACTTCAAAACAAAAGTCCTTATTTTCACAGGACTTTATTAGAATTCAATTTATAGATTGCTGTAAATAAACATTTTTCTTCTAATTTTTGAGCTGGTACCTTAACAAGCATTTCATGCTGTTTTTGAGTAATCTGTAAAAAGTTAAATACATATATATATATATACACACACAGATATTCTAAACCTATACTATAGATGCCAAAGTTTTAGATAGTAATTAAAAGTTGTAATTACAGAGAAATTATATTTTTTAAAGCCTTTTTGCATATAACTACACACTGTGCATGCACCCTCAATGAGATCCAATTAGTTGCAAAGAATTTGCATTTCAGTTAGTATGGGATAACAAGACTATAGGGAGGCACAATGCAATTCCACCAGCAGAGTAAGAAAGTGTGTTCTTTCTTGTTAGCTTTGTAAGCAATAATTCCCACAACTGATTGTTTAAAATGTTACTGATCTTTTCAATATTTGGGTATTGAGGTAGGTTTAAGTTTTTCCCTCCATTAAAAAAAAAAATCACAAGTTGGTGCAAATATCAACCACAATGAATACTTAACAGAAACAAATGAACAAAGGATTTTGTTTTGTGTGTATGTTTGGGGGGGGGGTTTGGTGGGAGGATATTGCATACTTTCTCTTTTCCTCTTAATACTTACTGGTAATTTCTTTTAAAAGCACATTGCTTTCTTAAAATAAGTTCCATAATGGGGGGCAGGGCAACCTCACTGGAAACGGTTCTATGTAAATATATATGGTTTTGTGATGCAGGCCTGTAGTTAGTACACCGAGAAAGTACTCAAGGATTTTCATTTCTTCTAGTTATGTTTCTAACAATGTAAATCCTAAGCAAATATCAAATAAATGTATAATTTATATACACAGTATAACAAGCATCTCTAGGACTTCTGCTGGTTCACGGAACAATACCTGTAATTCCCTGGGTTCAGTTCAGCAGCTGTTAACAGATTCTGTAATCTGTAATGACAGTAAACTGGCCTTTGCTCTTCTTTTATTCACTATTCATTTTCAAGGCTTGGTTAAGTACAGAGCTGGGTTAAAGATCAGTGGTTTTTCATGTGACACATGCTGGTATTCATCTAATGGCTTGTCAAGACAAAACTGTCCCTGTTCTTGCCAAAATAATAAAAATGACGCTCCACATCGCATGACAATCAGCACTTCCTTATGGCAAAACAACTCAAGCTTTTGTAACTCATTTACTTTATAGAAAAAAATTTTTAATAACTGG